AATACTAAAAAGTTTTTAAAAATCAAAAGGAATGCATCTCCATACTCATGTATACAATTTAGTGATTTAGGATTAATGATTTTAAAGTTATGTCTTGAAGTTATTTAACTGTCAACAACAATTATGATCTTTGTGGAAGAATGTTACAAAATATATCGGTACCATAGTACTAGTTTTTTTCTATTAGTTTAATTATTTTTTAATAAATTTAAACATTATTATTATTATATACATAAATATTATATTTAATATTATAAATATATATATATATATATATATATATATTTGTTTATAAAACATAATGGATTTATCGGCCATTGTCTTGACACAAAAATTATGAGAAAGCTACGGTGTATCATCTCGTCGGGTATTTTAACTATTGAATTTTACCTGTAGTTATAATTGCGGTAACATTTCCCAAAACAAAAGGTAAAAAAACCAGCAATCAATAACTGTCCTTCTACACAAAACAAAAGCATAGAAAAGGCGGCTTTATTCACGAGCACTTTCTCTCTCCACCACCACTTTCTCTCACCACAACTGTCGCCACCGTACTCGAGCTCGTAAATAATGTGCAAATAAAGCGACGCAGCTCGATTTAGTTAAGAAAAAAAAAAAAAGAGAAAGAAAGAAAAGAAGCCGAATTAAAATCTGTGGCCAAATAATTGCAGGAGTAAGTGAGTTCTTCACGGGGGCTTGCGCAGCTCAATCGTTTTCGTGATCCCTTTTTTCGCCGCGTGTGCTTGCTGCCCTCCCGTCTAGGGTTTTCTGGGTCTCCTTTTTAATCGGATTTTTCTTTGCGGGGGAGGAGAAAAGATTGAACCTTGCGGCGGTGGAAAGCTCTGGCCGGGAAAATTTGGGGTTAATTTTTTTTTTTTTTTTGGATGGATCGACCGCCGGCGACGCCGGGGCCGCCGGGGATGGATTTGCCGATTATGCACGACAGCGACAGGTACGAGCTGGTTAGGGATATCGGGTCGGGTAATTTCGGGGTGGCCCGGCTGATGAGGGATCGGCAGACGAATGAGCTTGTTGCGGTTAAGTACATCGAGAGGGGCGAAAAGGTAATTTTCGCTGTCTTCCCTCTCTTTCTTTCTTATTTTTTTTTTCTGTTTTATGCAGGGTTTTATTGGGTTGTTGTTGTTGTCGTCGTTGTCGTTGTCGTCGTTGTTGTTGTTGTCGTCGTCTTTTTATTTTGAATGGTGCCTGAGAATTTAACTTGAGAAAATCATAAAAGAATTTGAGCTTTGTTTTGTAAAATCTATCACCATTGAAGCTGGTTTATGGCACATCCTTTACTTGTAAGAAAGTATATTTGAACCCAGTTGGACTCATTCATTTCTGCTTTATCTAATTGCTAGGCACACAAAAGGTTTATGCAATTCATTTTGTTGGTTTGGATTATTGTGTTTGAACTTTTAACCCATTTTTGCATCATCTGATATTTGTTTAACTTAGACTTGGAACACTTCATGCACATGTCACAGATCGATGAAAACGTGCAGCGAGAAATTATCAACCATAGGTCTCTCAGGCATCCCAACATTGTCCGATTTAAAGAGGTATACGGTTTTTACCCCAAACTCGTTCATTTTTTCTGGATATTTTGCATATATATGTTTATTTTTTTTTTTGCAGGTCATACTCACTCCAACGCACTTGGCTATTGTCATGGAGTATGCTTCAGGGGGAGAGCTTTTCGAACGTATATGCAACGCAGGGAGGTTCAGCGAGGATGAGGTTCAATTTTATTTTATTTTTTATTTTTGGTGTCATATACATAGATACCATTTTTTTGCTTCTTACTAATTATAATGTGCTTGCTTTTAACTCGTGGGCATAGGCGAGGTTTTTCTTCCAACAGCTCATATCAGGAGTCAGCTACTGTCATTCTATGGTACTCGACCGAGCTTTCTCTTTTTAGTCACCATTGATTGTTTTTGTTTTTTTTGGGTATGGTAATGAGGTATTGCTGGCGTAAATTCGGCTTACACTTTGTGTGGTTTTCGTGAAGCAAATATGCCACCGTGATTTGAAGCTAGAGAACACGTTGCTCGATGGAAGCCCGGCTCCTCGCCTCAAAATTTGTGATTTTGGGTATTCTAAGGTATATAAATAATTGTCTGATCCCATAGACTTGCAAATATAACATTTCAATCGATAAGTCGAAAGTATACCTTTATCTATCTTACTTATTCCCCACGAGCATTCATCTTATCATTCTTATAGTAACTCTGCTTGTGCCACATTTGCAGTCATCTGTGCTTCACTCACAACCAAAGTCAACTGTCGGTACCCCGGCATACATTGCTCCTGAAGTGTTACTAAAAAAGGAATATGATGGAAAGGTATTTTCGTTTTGTCCCTTTCTCTTTTCCCGATTTGAGGTGCAAAAAAATCGTCAATCCATCGCCCGTTTATGATAAAACATTGACTATAAAAGAAATCCTTTTTTATTTTTGCCTGGATATTTTATCGAGCAACTAATGATATTGCTTCAAATGTCATTGTTATTTGTATGTAGATTGCGGATGTGTGGTCTTGTGGAGTAACTTTGTATGTCATGTTGGTTGGTGCATATCCGTTCGAGGACTCAGAGGACCCCAAAAACTTCCGAAAAACAATCCAGGTACTTAGGGCATGTTTGGTAAAGCATATAACCTAGCTTGTAGCTTATAAGCTTTTTGTATTCAAATAAAATTTGTTTGGTAGGATGAGCTTTTTTTAAAAGCTCGAGTTTATCTCATAAACTTCTTTGGATAGTTTTTCAAATAAGCCCATTGAAATTTCAACTAATTTTACCAAAACACTTTTATCATATAAAAACTAGCTTTTTAAGTTATAAGCTACAAGCTATAAGCTCGAAAATCACTTATTAGATATCAGCTGCTTTTACCAAACATAGCCTAAGTCTTATTTCGGATTTGTTTGCAGCGAATTCTGCATGTCAAGTACTCGATCCCAGATTACGTACACATATCTCCCGAATGCCGCCACTTGATTTCACGAATATTCGTGGCCGACCCTGCAAAGGTCACTTCTGAAACCCTTTTCTTGGCAAGTTATACTCAGTAAATTTTGGAAATGACTATAGTCCCGTCACGGATCATTCCGTATTTACCCTACACTACTAATCTACATATATATCTAAAGACTAATAATAACCACAAAATGATTACGTGACCGGACTGTAGTCAAACCCGTAGATTTTAGAAGGGTAACAAACATAACGAAACCAATTTAATGATAAAAAAACAGAGAATCTTTGCAGAAGTTTACATATAAATATGTAGAATATAAAAATTTAACATGTTAAAAAACAGAGAATCTCAATTCCTGAGATAAAGAACCACGAGTGGTTTCGAAAGAACCTTCCGGCGGACCTCACGGACGACCAGACGGGCAGTAATCAATTTGAAGAGCCCGAGCAGCCCATGCAAAGTGACGATGAAATCATGCAGATAATAACCGAGGCCACAATCCCACCTGCAGGTGCAAACAACCTTAATCAGTACTTAACCGGAAGTTTGGACATTGATGATGACATGGACGATGATATCGATAGCGATCCTGATATCGATATCGACAGCAGTGGAGAAATCGTGTACGCAATGTGATCGTTTTTCATGAAATGCATTATGTAATTTGAATCTTTGAGTGTAACTGTGTTGTATCTGCTACTCATTTGACTGATGTATAATAATTATTTTCATGATTCCAAATTGATGGGACTATCTTATATTTGAAATATTTTCATGTGTATTTGATGGTAATTGAATTATTATATGAATTAGAATCAGAAATCCTCATTTTTGAGGTTAGAGAATAAAGTTGACTAGTTCTACTATGAATTCAGCTTAACCAATAAGAAGTTATGACTTAACCATAGCATGCAATTTTTGTTCACATACTCACTGATCAACCTGTCTAAAGGTTTACAAAAAAAAATTGTGAAATGTGAAAAATGAAATTAAAGGTACATTAAAAAAAAAATAAGTTAAAACTTCAATGCTAAGTAGAGTACTCCTTTGAGTTCACTTGGGTGAATGATGAAAACTACATCTTTAGCACCTTTTCTACCTCAGCAAAAAGATTACATTACAACAAAACTTCAGTTCTCTAAGCAAAGGATGTCTCGAAAAATAAGGATTCGCAGCAATTGTTCGCGCCACAATTATTGGCTTTCTTTCACTGGTTTTTCACCCCCTGAAGTAAAAAATAGAAGGCTTAATTGTCAAAAACGAAAAAAAAAATCGGGATTTATTGAGTAATCAAACTATTTGAAATTCACAAATAAATGCACCATCTTTATTAAATTTGGCAATTCAAAATACCGGGCCGGGCTCAATTCGTGCCCAATATGACTTTTTTGTACTGTTTTATCTTTCTTTGATTTTATACCGGATTCGAAGAAATCTTTATTCTGACCATGAATAAAAAACTAATCATCCTTGATTCAAATTTAACATGCAAAAGAGCACAACATTCAACACTGATAAATCAAGATTAATTAAAGCTTTTTAAAGTACCGTTTTATTAAGGAAACAAAGGCACGGTTAGGAGCCCAGTGTTTTCTGGAATTCCCATCATCAAGTTCAGGTTTTGCAATGCCTGACCTGAAGCTCCTTTCACAAGATTATCAATCTGCAAATGGTGTATCGATCAGACAAAGAAAGAAATAATAGTTTTTCAGCTAACAGAAAACGAGTGATAAGCACTATAAATAAATACTTACAACCGAGATAATTATTGCTCTTCCTGGGATCCTATCAGGAAATACATTTATCAAGCAGTAGTTGGATCCTCTAACATGTCGAGTATGAGGAACCTCGTTCTTCTTTAACAAAATCACAAATTCTTCATTCTGAAAAGAGAGAGAGAGAGAGAGAGAGAGAGAGAGAGAGAGAGAGAGAGAGAGAGAGAGCACAAAAGAGGACATGTTAGCCGTTTTAATAAAATCATTCGAAAAAAGAACAAGTTCTTGAAGTTGAGTGAATAAAAATATATTTCCTCTGTTCCCTTAGTCCTACAAAGACACTTTTGTTTTCACATAAAATACACAGTTCAATAAAACATGGATCATTTTGTTTTGGAAATATTAAGTTTAGCAGTGTTTTATCATGATACACCATTAAGTTAAGAGCTTATACATTTTAATGGTTCTATTTTCATGACAATGGCGCATGAAAAAACTGAACAAGAGCATAAAGAGAACATTTCAACTAATTTATTTAAAGAAACACGTCCAACTTTGTATTACAAACAAAAATAGTGAGTTTGAGAGACATTTTTTTTTTTACTTCTTTTAAAAGCACCTAAACATCTGCCTTTTTTACAATTATCTGCTTCATTTTCTTCTTAGTTTTATTTTGCATATTGTTTTAGGTACCGGAGTGAAAAGGTAGAAACTTTATTTTATTTTTTATTTTTTTTTGGAATTTGCAACAAAAAGTGGCAACTTACCTCATAAAAACTACGTAAATGCTCATACAAATCCTCTGTTGATGCTCCGGGGGCCATTTCCACATATATAGTAGATTGCATACCTCGACTCTGGAAGATAAATGTTACATAATTATTCAAAACATGTTATTTTTATTTTATATTTTTACTTCACAAATTTGAGGGCAGCCATATTACCATTGGCATTAAATGCGGGGTGAAGCTGACAGTAACTTTCGATTTTGCAGCCTCTGATAAACCCTGTTCAATTTCTGGTACTGAAATTCACCATTGAAAACCAGTTAAAACTATTAGTCGGTTAAGAAAATATTGTGATCCGTTGCAGATAAAAAAACAAAACGGTTGTAATCACAAGGAAAATATGTTGTTGAGGGTATACAGTCTAACTACAAAAATACACCCTTCGGGCTTGTTTTACTTTTACCATCCTTGAAAAATAAGAAAGAGGTAAACCACTTAGCAAAATCGATAACTAACCGTGACGATGCCTGGTGACACCATAAGAATGTATTCCTTCTGCTATTTCGGTGTACAAATTTGCCTCCTTAGCCCCACGCCCTGCAAGCATAATAATAAGTTCCAAAATTAATCAGTTAACAACTAATAAAAATTAGCACTAAAGGCTGTGAAAAAATTATTCAGAACCTGCTCCACTAACACCAGATTTCGAGTCGATAATGATATTCTTAACTTCGATGAGATTGGCCTGTGAGCAAATGAGTGAAAATGGGACAGAGTGAAGCAGAGACAATTATTCAAATATAGGAAGGGGAAAAATGATCTTTCTAGCAAGATTGTATTTGATTGATTGTTGAATAAAAATATATGTACGGAGCTTGTGTTTTGAAACTCTCCATTATAATACAGATCGCAAAGAAAAAAAAAATAAAAAAATAAAAATAAAAAGACCAACCTTTATTAATGGAATAAGAGGAAGCTGAATAGAAGTCGGGTAACAGCCAGGATTTGCAATTAAGCGTGCATTTTGGATTTCGGCCCTGGATATCTCGGTTAGCCCATAGACAGTTTCCTTCTGCAAATATACCAGCATAAAAAGAAAACAATAAAGTGCGGCAAAAAGGAACACAACATTAACCCGTTTTCTCTCCTACTTATTGTTTTATTGTTCAGGAGTGTGTTTTTAGTCCTAAATCATGATTTTGGACTGATCAAGAAATGAAACCAAATAAAACCATGTTTGAAATGTATAAACAAGTTGGACAAGAAAAAGGCGAACCTGTAATTCTTGGGCTTTGTGAGGCTGACCATACCATTCCTCATATTCCCCAACATCTCGAAGCCGAAAATCCTACAAAACCATCATTTATAAATGGAAGATCAGTCAAGCGAAATTTGCCACAAGATAAAAGAAACATAGCAAGTTTGTAATTGAACTAAAAAATAAAAAATAAAAATACCGCGGATAAATCAACTATCTTCAGACTTCTGGGGAGGCCTTTGATAATGTCCTGCAAACAAGAAGCATTGCTTGAAAATACAATGGGCAACAACTGTCAACCTATATAACAGTCAAACTAGAAGGAAAAATGAAATTGGAAGTAAAAGAAAATAAACACAAATTTAGGGTTTAGTTCTACTAAGAATGGTGGTGAATTGGGAGGAGAACAAAAGAGAAATAAAAAAAAAAAAAAAAAAAAAAAA